ACCGAGGATTTTTGCATAATACCGCCAAGATCCTACGTGGAAGCTTTATTTTTGACACAGCGGGGCGCAAAATAAGCAGGCGGACTTATTAAATCGCATTTTTCAACGCGAACTTTAAACAAAAGTACACATATTTATTAACGCCACCAGAAACCGCCTTCATTGTGCCAGGGATAGAATTATATAACATTTTTGTAACTTAATCTTAACGTCTATATTAATTGAACGCAGCTTGTGGAAATTTTGTTCAAAAAATTGTAAAACACCTGAAAAGCTCTTGGGGGGAAACTACTGGACCGAGTGTTGTCAAATTTTATACCTATACTACACTATACTAAAACAACAAGATTGGTAAGTTAACAGTTTCGGCGTTTTTGCCGCCAGTCCGCCCCTGATTTATTTCATCCCCTTACGTACGCAAACTTGTTCCTTCCGCCAGACTGCGTTCCGTTATAAAATGCGCATAAATTCCCGAACTAAACATGATAAAGTAGTTTTGATGAATACGGGGAGTTGTTCGATATTCCTCAGCTGCGCTACAATTCGATTCGTCAACTGACGAGTGCAGTCCCTTGGCGCCCAGACGTTTACTTATTGTATTGTTTTTCTTTTTTTTTTAGCCCGTGGGTGGTGTATTTTCGTGCCCTGTTGTGTCGACAAGACGCGGAGGAAACACGGCGTTGCACTTAAATGTCTTGATACAAAACGAAAGCTGCGCTTTCGTGTATCCACCTTTCGACAAGTTTTTAGTCGGATGTTGTTTTATGGTAATTATGCTAGGTGGCAGCGGAAATTTGAATTATGCTAATTTATTAATGCGACACTCATGGAAATGAGCGACGATTTATTTGTCCACAGCCCGGGGGGTTTTTGTCGAGAGGAAGAAGCTGCTGATTAGGCTAATGATGATATTAAAGACGAAAAAATGAGGGGAATTGGGATCTTGGGTTTTGTTTTTCTAGTGCTTTCTATTTAAATGAGGGTGGGAATTTCCGATGGAAAAAGCTGGCGAAAGCTGAACTTTTGCACAGAGTTGCAATTAAGAGCGGATAACTAAATTAATTAATATCGACGGAAAGTTGAAAGTTGAAGTTTTGCTAGCCGGACTAACAAGGCTTAAAACAATAACGGCTCTCGACTGCTATACTAATATCGAATTTTAATTTCACATATTTTTATTTTAACAGGATCCAGCATATTTAACTATGTTATTCAGTGTACTTACTACATAGTTTTATTATACTAAAACTTAAGGTGGAATCGCAACACTTAAGATTAACAAAAAATTCAACAAAAAGGAGGTCCGTCATCTATTATGTATTCATAGACAAAGAAATATGGAATAAAATAGGACATAAAATTGAGAAGAATAGAGATTGGTAGCTACTACTTACTATAATGCTAAACTTCAGACCAGAAAGGAAGAAAAGACGTAGATTAAATGATTCACGAGAAAATCAAAATTATCAACAAGACGACAATAATCTATACAAAACGATTTAAAATAAATAAATGGCAAAAATATATTGTCAGTACCTCTTTAACTTCGATTGTTTTTGTTTATACATCGAAAGAATGCGACGATTAAGCACGTAGCAAGCTGTCTGATTTGAATGATTTTGTCTCCTCATAACAGAGGAGGCGACCAAAATTATTAATTAAGCTAACATGTCATTATGATAATTCTTATATTATTATTTGTAAATATACGCGGGCCCACCTTACTGCATTCTCAAATTTTCGACAAAATGAGGTAAATCGTTATTGCTTTGATCAATAAAAAAAAATTGTGACCCAATCGAAGCAGTAACTTCTGCGAAATTTGATTTTTTTTTTGGATGGCCAGTGTAACAAAAATTCGAACAACCGAAAAAATGAAAAAGTGAGAACGCGAAAAATCGAAAAACCAAAATGAAAATTCGAAAAATCGAAAAACCAAAATGAAAAAACTAGAAATCGAGAAATTGAAAAAACTAGAATTTGAGATCTCGAAAAATTGAAACATCGAAAAACCGAAAAATCGAAAAAACCAAAATTGAGAATTCTAAAAATCAGAAAATGAAAAATTTGAAAAATCTGAAAATCGAAAATAGAGAAATGTAAAAATTGAGAACTGGAAAAATTGAATAGTCAAAAAATTGATAATTCGAAAAATCGAGTAATCGAAAAATGAAACAATTGCAAAAATTAGAAATCGAAAAAACAAAAAACCAAAATGAAAATTGGAAAAATCGAAACATCAAAACGAAAAACTGAGAAATTGATAAATCGAAAATTGAAAACCGAGAAATCAAAAACTTGAGAAATTAGGATGATTTCTAGAGAAATAAAAAAATCGACAAAACTAGAATTCGGGAACTCGAAAAATTGAAACATAGAAAAACCGAAAAGACTGAGCAATCGAAAAAACGACAAATTGAGAATTCGAAAAATAGAAAATTCGAAAAATCAAAAAGCAAAGATTCGAAAAGTCTAAAAATCGCAAATGGAGCAAGCGAGAAATCGCGAACTCGGAAAAATGAAACATCGAGAAACCGAAATCGAACTATCGAAAAAACGAAAAGTTGAGAACTCAAAAAATCAAAAATTCAAAAAATCAGAAAAACAAATATTTGAAAAATGTGAAAATTGAAAATAGAGAAATGTAAAAATTGAGAGATATGGGGAATTTGAAAAATCAAGAAATTGAAAATTCGACAAATCGAAAATCAAACAATTGAAAAAATGAAAAATTGAGAATTCAAAAAATCGAAAAATCGAAAAACCTAAACATCGAAAAACCGAAAGATCGAGAACTGAAAACTTGAAAAATCGAATATTGGAAATCGAACAATAAAAAAAAAACGAAAAGCTGAGGAATTCGAAAGATCGAAAAATCAAAATGAAAATTCGAAAATTCGTGAATTCGAGAAATGGAGAAATCGAGAAAACTAGAATTCTAGAACTCGAAAAATTGAAACATCGAAAAACCGAAAGAATGATCAATCGAAAAAAAGACATATTTCGAAAAATGGAAAATCGAAAAATCAAAAAGCAAAGATTGGAAAAATCTAAAAATCGAAAATCGAGTAAGCGAGAACGGAAAATTGAAACATTAAAAAGCCGAAAAATCGAAAAATCGGGCAATCGAACAAACGAAAAATTGAGAATTTGAAAAATCGAAAATTCGAAAAATCAGAAAATCAAATATTTGAAAAATCTGAAAATTGAGAATCCGAAAAATCGAAAAAATCGATAACTCGAAAAAAATCGATAAATCGAAAAATGTAAACATCGAAAAACCGAGAACTGGGAACTTGAAAAATCGAAATACGTATTGAATATCGAACAACCGAAAAAACGAAAAGCTGGGAGTTCGAAAAATCAAAATGAAAATTTAAAAAAATTTTTTTGAGTAACCTTATATAAGTATTCCTAAAACTACGAGTGGATGATAAACCATAAGTATAATCATAACATTTTGCATATTTGAGAGAGGACTTATTCGGCAAAATTTTGAGACGACGTCATAAATTTTTGGAAATTTATGACGTCGTCTTAAAAGCCTTACAATGTTTGCAAAATTTCAGAGCATTCGGTTTTCCAATTTCAAAGTTATTGCAAAATGTTATACAATTTAGAATTTTTTTCCTAAAATTTGGATGTCTAGAATAAAAACTCAACACGGATTTTGTAAAATCTGAATAATATTTATAAATGTAAATTTTGGAAACGACGTCATCCCATTGGTGGTAAGGATAATTGCCCAAATTTTGGTTAACGTTTTACCATCTATATACATAATAGTCCCAATATGCATGCAAAATTTGACAACAATCGGTCCAGTAGTTTCAAAGATTATTTGTCTAATTAAGATCGACACAGACAGATAGCTGGACAAACAGACACATAGACAACAGACAAACGGAAACGGGTGACCACTTTTTCCGTACTTTTGAGTTGATGAAATGTCGAGAAAACATTAAAGTAGCCATTCGCTCAATGAACTCTGTTATAATATTTCCAGCCTATGCTCGGGAATACATAGCAAACGGAACCACACATAATTACTAAGAATACAAATTAGCAAGAATCAGATAAAAAGATTTTAAGTAGAATTTAATTTTAAGATTATTAGACAAATTTTGGTTTCCATTTTACTATCATTCTTAAAATTGATATAAAGTTTTTCAACAATCAGTCCAGTGGTTTTAGAAATTTTGTGTTTAACAAAATCGCTCACCGACGACGGAAACGAGACGTTTACTTTTTGAAGTGACACGGGCTAAACTTTATAGTAATTGTAAAATAATATTTCAAATTTTTTTCTTCAATATTCATGGACAAAAATATGGAATATTTGGAATTTTCATAAATTTTTGAAATCAATCTGTACATTTTTATTTCTAGAGTTCTGACTCACGTGCTTTTATTCCTTGTTAAAATAGTTATCTAATCCTTCTAACAAATTAACAACTGAATCTCATGCTCTATTTAATTAGCGAACGACTCTCTTGGTACTGGGAGGAGCATCCATTTAATTAGACTTCGTGAAAAATGTTATTAGCCAGTCTTTACACTGGTATTAACGACGATGGATGTAGTTGTCACGATCCCTATAAACAATGAACAAAACTCACTCGCCAGAAAAAAATCCAAAATAAGGGTGTATTGTGAAGAATTCTGTAGTAAAACCGGAATTCATGGCACTCCTATGCATCTGTGGGACATGCCGTTCCCTGCAGTGACTATCTGTCCAGAAGCAAAAATTAAAGCAACGAAATTTAAATTAGAAAATGAAGATAAACTGTAGGTATACAAAATAATTCCGTCTATACTTGGTCATGTTAATATTATAGATGGAATAAACTCATAGATGTACTGATGTTCTGTAGACGAAATACTAGTATGACAAAACTGTCGCCAATTCCACAACACGTTGTTGATTTAAACACAATCAAGTATCTTTTAACGGTAAGTATTTTTAAACCAAACACCACAGGTACCACAGTTTTTGCAGTACGTCCCTTCACTAAAAGACATCATTCATTACACGGAACCCAGTGAGTATATTAACTTTTTCTCGCCAACATTGACAAATTTTGGGGAATGTTACACCTTCAACATGATCGACAAGAGTGAACTTTTCAACGATATCACGTAAGACGATTTCCGAAAGCTCTGCTTTGGATGACCGTTTTTTCCAGGTATTTATACGAAAACCATTCAGTTCATCGAAAAAGTTGCTACTGGTCAGTCGACGACAACTACGTCATAACTAAAAATAACACCATTCCTGTGCGAGCTACAGCAATTTCGGACATTTTTTTCCTTAGCCTTCACACTTTGGTACTTGAAAAAAATGAACAGTGCAATTCCAATGACGGGTACAAAATTATTTTGCACCACCCAGCTGACATTCCGACTTTATTGTTTCAACAATCAGTCCCAATAGCACTAAGTTCTAACTACAAAATTTTAATTAGACCAGAGGTCACAGTAACGTCTGACAATTTGAAAAAATATGATCCCCATAGAAGACACTGTTTCTACTCTAGAGAACGAAGCTTGAAGTTCTTTAAAACATATACCAAACACAACTGCAAGATTGAATGTCTTGCCAACTACACCTTATCAGAGTGTCACTGTGTCCCTTATTTTCTACCTCGTAAGTTTATCAAATAAAGGTGATCTTAATCCAAAACTCTTGCTAAAAATTTAGACGAAAAGTCAACGACGATTTGCAGTTTGGTAGACGCTTCCTGTGCATCAAATTGTGAAAGTAAGTGCCCCTTAAGTTGAAATCCAAACAAATATATTTTTAGAACATATGTTTCATATGGACATGGAAGCTGAAATTGACGATGAAGGACCGAATATACTGAGAGTTTGCGATTGTTTACCGCTGTGCACTTTGATCAACTACAACACGCAAGTCCACCACAATAAAGTAGGACGTGTCCCAGGACAACCATTATCACGTTCAGAAGTAGAAATAGGTTACAAAGAAATGGAATTTCCAATAATGGAAAGGCAAGAGTTGTTCAGTAATGCTGACTTTTGGGCCAACTGTGGGGGTCTCTTGGGGTTGTTCACTGGATTCTCTGTTGTCTCTCTTGCTGAAATCATCTACTATCTTTCAATAAGGTGGATCTGTGATCTTTGTTGCTTCGGGGAACGAATTCTTCGAAAACGCGATCACTGATCGTTGAACCTTGCAACCTTATAACGGTTGCAATTTGTCTTTGGGAAATTGTCGTTTTTACAACATTTCTATTTAGGAAAGATATTGTACACATCTCCGTCATAAAATTTTCACACCTCCTTAACACCATCAGCTCCTCCTCGATAAATTGTGAACTCTGATGCAACTTTTCCACTTTGTCGTTTAAATAAAGTAGTAAAACAGTCGAACATCCAATTTATAGATCCATCGACCAAACTCCTATAAATGGTAATTTCCAACTCTCCCACATTGCCAATTACATCTTTACGACCTGCCGACAGCTCCCTCACCGAACTCGTCAAATTTTACCTTCCCATCACTCCCACGTAAAACACTTTCACAGTTCTTGAACTTTAAAACAATCACGCCGCTCGATCCATCATCTAATTCAAGCTCAACCAAATGCCAGTGATGCTTCCTGCAAGTAAATTCGACGTGTTTACTCGGCATTAAAATAATCCGCATATTTATTTTGACATGAGCAATTAGCCGAGAGCAGCTGTAAAAGAAGGCCGGGCCACATGTGGTTCTCATTTTTTAAATTCGAGACCCCCGCGTGGTTTATAGATGTTACCAAATATTTTGAGTCGGAAGTGTAAACAAATTTGCTCGAAAACCTGCCAAAAAAACTCGTTTATCATTTCGCTTTGTATTGCGACGATGTCAGGGGAGAAATTACAATTGTTCACGAACAGGTGAAATAAACAAATTTCCTTTATGCGGACGTCGCGTGGTCGGGAATGTTTTTCGAGCTGGAATTGTGGAATTTCAGGAGTTGCAGGTGACACGTCGAATGGAAGAATTAATGACGGACGATCACAAGGGATACGGTAAACATCATACATATTTTTAACAAAATATTCCATGGATTTTTTTTCAACGCAAAATCAGTATAGCATAGTTGAAACTGAAATTTATTCCAGTCCGTCGCTTCTACAGTCTGTCTCCAATGCGGAACACACATACACGTACATACCTTGATATGTGTTCGTGGCATTGTCAGAACGCTCCGACAATAAATTCCACAGATGAAACCAACTACATTTCGTTACCTATTGTTATAAATCATAAATATTGCAGCAGCGCTGTTAAACTTGTGCAACATTGCTGCACACCGACAAATGTTCGTCGGTTCCTCCACCTGCGCTGCTTTTTTCCTTCCGCGTAGGCATTCGACAGCATAACGGATAGCGTGGATGGCGGAGATAGGGTTGGATATATCGGGGATATAACCGCAGAGCTACGGCGCACACATTTGAATACCGAGCTAACTTTGTCATAGATGTATGTTAAATGGTTTATGCAACAGTAAACTCCATCTAACCGACGACGTACACTCCCTGCGCAAAGTTGTCACCGAACTCCCGGGCCGAACTGATAAGGACACCACCGAACTTACTAACTTTACAGCTCACGGAGTTCTTTAGCGAGGTGCGGTGTTTACAGCGAGTAGAACTAGTCGACAAATAGAAAGTGTGAGGAGAAATGGGAAAACTGAAAGACTTTTTAGGAAAGTTGGAAGAAAATTCGGTCCAGACGGGTAATAAAACTTGGAAGGTGTGCAGTGTGAGGGATGCTGAAGTGTTGCGAAGTTTCGGGGATAATTGGGAGTAATGAGCACCGGAAACGTGTTGGCAGATTTTAATATACCTGGTGAACATGGATTTATGCTTTGTGAACTCTCTACGAGGGAGCAGAGTTGGAAAATGAGAATCGAATATCGACTTAAACACGAAAAACGTGAAAAACAGCTGGATTTATTTATGAATTTCTTAAAAAATCGCTATACTCCTATACTTGTGGTTTATGAACCCGCCTTGAATTTTAATTCCAATTAGTTTACAAAAATGTTTGTGCAATATTTGCAACGTGTTTCACGTAATCGACATCTCGTAGGAAACAAGTGATAGATTACGGCGTTGGACTTGAGCAAATGAGCTTTGCGCGTGGGTTTGAATCCTATTCTCGTCGACATTTTTTTTCAAATGCGACAGAAGTTATGTCTAAGTTACTTTAGACCAGTTTTTATGTGTCTTGTCAGTTTATTGGATTTTTAGTATCTACTTGTAAAGCCAATTTATTTTTTAATATTTCTCTGGTTTCGTGTTTTCGGTGAGAGCAATTTTAATATAGAGTTTATGGAAGAGAGATACATAAATGACCCTCGTTATAAACCAAACTCCCACTATTAATGTGGATTATGGGCGTATTATTTCAAAAATATTTTAAGCACAAACTGATTATTTTCCATCAACATCCAAGTATAATCTGGAAATCGTCTAACATGATCTAAGGATCGTCTGGATAATAAAATTAGAGAAATTTTAGAACTTGTTCTCTTCATTCATAACACAACAGGACTTGCTGGCGTGAAATGATGAACGTAGGCACTACATTTCCTAAAAATTTCGAATTTGTATTTTTTCCTCAACCTAGAGGTTTCGAATGGGCTATTGTTGCAGGCTTGCATGTTTCAAGCTTTTTTTTTTCTCCAAGAATTATTTTTTCTCTTGTGTGCTGAAAAAAATCAATTCTCTCAGACCATGTGTTGGCACAGGAGCCAGATGAAAATAAAATAAAATAAAACTATAATCATTTCAAAAAGTGTTATTGAAAAAAAAGTTACAGCTGATAGGAGAGCTAGAATCCTCAACTTTTTTCATAAAAATCAAAAATCATGTGGCGCACTTTTTGATTCAAAGTAGGTGTTTTCATATGGAACGACCCGTAAGATTTAAATTTTATAAAATAACATACTTCTGTACTTGTTCCCTGAACCATTAAAATTTTCACAAAAAAAAATAGAAATTTTATTGTAAGGTTTTCTAGGGGTGAAAGCGGTGTTGCTACAAAGTTACAGTTGCTCATGGTTCAAACATTCTAATGTGGCGTGGATTTTTTTGTTTCTTATACTTCTATTTATGATTTTTTCGGAAAAAAAACGAGTGTGCGTAATTTATTAATTAGTCCTCGCCTCTGCGTTGAGGAGAATGAAATCAGTCAAACTTCAGTTTCTATTAACACATATTCATACTTTGATACCGGCGCTGATACTAAATATGTACGTGGTAATGGTCGACTATTGTCGAAATATAAACATAAACAGTCGAAGTTAAACAAGCACTAGGAATTAAGAATACATTGTTTCCCATTGAAGTTGTTTGTTAATAACTTAACTTCTCAGGGACAGCAGTGAATTATTTTTAATAACATCTGCACTTGCTCGCTGCGCTCGCATTCTAAACGTCCTTTTTTTACAGTTTAGTCTCATAGAAGTGATTAAAAACCTCAGCACAGCTGTTGAGGTTTTGCTGTAAGAATAAATCTAAAAATTTATTACATTAAAAAACAAACCTTTAAAAAGGCGAGCGCAGCGAGCACATTCAGACTGCTGGGGTCTCTCTGAGTTTAGTATTCATAAACATTTTCAAGATTAACTTTTTTTGGACACTAAAAAATTTTCTCATTAATAATAATTTAGCTGCTTAAGGAAACTGACGAATAAATTTGAATAACATATAAATGTGCTCGCTGTACTCGCATTCTGAATGTTATTTTTTAATTAATTTAGTGTCATAAAAACATTTACGAATGAACGATCAGCAAGGCTAGGTCAGCAAGGGTACTTGGCTTTTATCGTAAGACTAATAGATAATTCTCGATATCTCGCTGTATAGGTAAAATACTCTGAAAAAAACGACCTCTAGAAGGGAGCGTAGCGAGCAGGTTCAGGATGTTTCAATCCGACATTAGTGACCACAAACAATCTTTAAAGTCATATTTTAAATAACAATAAAATTGTTCTTAATAATTTAGTATCTCAAGGACAACAAAAAATATTTTTTAAAATTATACCTGAACGTGCTCGCTGAGCTCGTAATTTAACTTTTTTTCTAGCTTTATTCTCATCGAAGTGTGAAGAAAAAAGTCTCACCGAAGTTGTTTGGGTTCTATTGTAAGAATAATTCTGTAGACTTAAAAAGCACACCCTTACAATACGAGCGCAGCGAGTACGTATCGATTGCTAGATTTTTAGGATTCACCTTTTTTAGACCATAAAAAGAAAGTTATTAACAAATAATTTAGCTTCTCAGGGACACTAACGAGTAATTTTTAATATCACCTAAACGTGCTCGCTGCGCTCGCATTTTTAACTTTTCTGCATGTACGAATGAATTGTCAGTGAGGCTACTTAGGTTTGTTTTATTATAACAAACTTATAGACGTCATTATGAAGCAAATTTATTCTAAAAAGAAATTGGTCGAAGGTTATTTCGAGAGAACTTCCCTCGCCCCAGAAATACAGTACATTAAATCCAGATTTTTCGAAAACTTGTAAGATTTCATATTGCGAATTATATTTTTTTATAACGACCTTTGTAAGTTAAAATAAAGATATTTTGGAAGGACTTGAGCAATTTCAATTTAATAATAATGAAATTAAAATAATAATAATAATGATTAATAATATCACCCAATTTTTTTTGACTCACTCTGTATAGGTAATTCTAAAAACTATGAGTGCATTAATAAACCACAAGTACAGAATTTTGCATATTTCAGAGAGGATTTATTTCGCAAAATTTCGAGATCATCAATTTTGGGGGAGGGGGGGAATAAACAAACACATTTTGATTAAAAATTTACCATGCTTAAAGTAACTTTACAACGTCTGCAAGATTTCAAAGCATTCGGTTTGGCAGATTCAAAGTTAAATCGCAAAATGTTGTTATACATTTTTTTTACCTGGATGTCTCGGGTAAAAACTCTACGCGGATTCATAAACTACACGTATAGGAAGAACTAATATACACAGTATGTAAGTTAAAGCGAAAAATTTTCGCCCAACGATAATTTTCTTTTAAATTATTTTATAAAAATCGTAAATAAGTCACATATTACTTTTTATAAGAATTACATACCCTGTACATTCAAAATCATTCATATTTCAGCGAAGGCCTTCAGAATTAAGAATCTAAGAATTAACAATGTAAGCAATTTCAGGTAATTCAGCTGATTT